GCCGCGGCAGTGTGAACACGCTCCACAGCTATCGATTTATAGTCACAGCTGATTGGTCCATTGTCGCCAACGCTCCCTCATCAAGCTGATTGAATAAATACCCTGCAGCCTCTTGTGAGAGTGGCTTGCTTGACTTGCTTTGTGTCAAAAATGTTCCCCCTGGCCGACTGACTACCCCTGTTCTCTCCTACTGAGCCTTGGGAACAACGGCCGGGCTAGCTCAGAGTTCGTGCTAATCACAAGTACCAGGCGTGGGTCATAAAAGGTTGAAAACAAGTTCCGCCTTCTAGAATGTCTCGTGGGGTAAATACTTGGCCCCTACTCTGCTGCTCCAGGGCACTTCGATTTAACAGGCCTCAAGCCAAGTAAATACAACGACTACGCGATAAATCACTCTCTGAAGTTCATCAGACATAACAGAACAACAGTCCTCGTTTTTTTCGGTTGCAGATGTCAGTAAGCCTAATCCCGGTTATTTTTATAATTTTTTAGCAAGGAAGGATGGAGGTGAGGGAAGAAGGGAACGTTTAAGTACTGCCCAAAGTTAGTTTGTTAAAAGGTGGCATCGGTGGCCAGTGGCGTCAGGAGGCGCTTGCGTTCATATCGCATACCGCAAGCCCTAATCTGACGCTTTATACATGCCTGCATTCTCTCCCTCATTCTTTCCTGCTCCCCAGTTATTTTTCCGGCCTTACTTAAAAAAAGACCTGTTCATTTTGAAAGGTATCCTCCGAATGCTCTTCTCAGCTGCCGGTGTTTCCTATATCTTTTTAGCCGATATTATAATACAGCGACACTTTAAAACGGTCAAGCAATTTGCTGATCGCATCCTTGGTGAGGTCGCTCACCCTCTCCACCCTGAACTAATGGCCTCGAAGTCTTCCCGTGCAATGCGCCGAAGCTTCCGTCATATGTCTTGCCGTACATCGGCATATCAGCACTCTATACTCCCATCCCTAGCATGCTACCTCACATGTGAAGAAACGGAAAGTCAGAAGTTGAAAGCCGACCTGTCTCCATAACAGA